CATGAACACTGTCACTATCTACCCCATGGTCCCTGCGAGGCTGACGGTGCCACACATCTGGGATAACTCAGTAAATCTCAGTAGAGGATGCACAGGGATATTTCATGTTCCTGAGAGGATGTTCCCACCAAGCTTGGCTTCAGCAAACCATCCTCTGTGATGGGGGGTCACCTCCTCAGAGAGGCAGCTGCGGCAGACAGACATGCAGACGGGATGCAATGGGTCTACATTCCCTGGGATTCACCACACCTCCAAGGCATGGGGAATTGCCAGACATCCCATCTGAGGAAAGGCTGATCTCTGCCTGGATGGGGAGGCAGGGAAGAATGCCCTCAAAAAGTCTCATGGTATCTGTGTCAGCCTCGGGGGTGTCTCTGAGCACTGTACAGCATTTGGGGATTGGCTTATAACTCAGGAGTTGGCTTCACCAAAGGCTTGGATTTAAAATCTTGCCTTAATTGATCTCAGTTTTTAAAAGATCAAACAAGAATTATGCTTATTGCAGGTTTGAGGGAGGAAAAAAAAGGACAGACTGTGACGAAGGGTAGAAAGCCGAGGATCCCTCTTAATTTTTACTCATTTTCAGCTTGTTCCGAGCAAGTGCATTACTTAATCGTTTGCCAGCTGATTTTCTCATCGTTTTATTAAAATTTTTGTGTGTCTCCGAAGAGCTCTAGAGGGAGCTAAAAGCCTTTGAGAGAGAAGCAATGCACTGCATGAATTTGTCTGAACCTCTAGTATGCTGTTAAAACGAGGTGTAAAGCACATTCAGCATATCCTGGGAACAGAATAAAGGCTTCTTTTACTCTCTGGATGAACACTGTAAGTCTTAGTTTCTATATTTAATCCACTTAATATTTGGTTACAAGAATTCATATGATCATCAGTCATGTGAAAGAAAAATCTGTCTCTTTTTCAGACTTACTTCCCCAAACGCATATGCTTCATAAACAGCACAAGGTACACAGCCAAGGAAAGGAAATCAGTGTCATGGTTATATTGGCTGAAAGGCTCAGAGCAGGATATTACCTTTCAAAATCACGGCCACAGGGAATGCTGTGTTCTTAATTTATCTCGGTCACTTGGAGTAGCTTTTGGGCCAAGCAGGTCATGATAGATTATGATAGTGCCCTAGGGGACTTTTTTAAAAATCCTGGTTTGAATAATGAAGCTACAAATATGGGTTCAGCATCTTGGTGGGAATAAATTTATTATCTCTGTGAGAGATGGCAAGCTATGGCTTTGCACGAAGCCATGTTCTCAGGTGTGCAGGCCCTGTCCTTGTCAGCTAATGCATGCCCACAAGAGCTGTAGTGGGTGGTAGTTGTCCCCATGGGCACACGCCATTGCCCTGTGGGCCACTGGGCTGTGCGTTTTATGCCTTCATCAGTGTTACAGCTGTCGCTGCTGCAGAGATTGCATTTCTCCTGAGTGTGCTGCCCATGTCAGGAGGAGAAGGGCTTTAGTGGACCAGGCCAACCACCCCTGGCTCACTTATACAGGCGATGCTGGAGTTTTTTATCCTGATTCCGGATTTCTCGTGTTTTCACATGGCTCAATTAGCTATATGGAATATAAAGGTCAACCCTAGGTTGCTGGTCCCTGCAGGAGTTACTTAACGAACTCCAGCACATCGTTTTCCTTGGTTCTTGACTGAACGTAACAAACTGCACCAAGATTGGGAACAAGCAGGTGAGACACTGAGAGGAAAGGAAAGCTGGCCTCCCTCCCTGGCTTGCATTTTCTAAAGTCCACATGCAGGAACTCTTCTCTCTCTGACGTGTTGCTTTTGTCCTTACGCAGCTTTTAATCCTTACATAGAAGAACCAAAGTTTGCTTTGGGAGCCTTTGTGAGTTTCAGAAATAATAATTGGTTTTGGGAGTTAATAATTCAGCTATAAATACACTTGTCATGTTAAAGCTTGACACGGTAATATCTTGGCTCAGAGATGCTTTTCTTCTGACCAAAGATTATTTATTATGTAAAATTCCCACAGGCACAAGTATTAGAAGCTCTCCTGACTCTATTCAGGTACAAGTGACCTCCCTACTTTTTTCTTCCAGCAGGTCTAAGTCTGTGTGTGCTAGTTTTGGTTCGTAGCCATTAGCGATAAGTTACTTTGCCTGATTCTGGGAGAGCCCCCAGCACTCAGTCCGTTGGCCTGGCTTGGGACACCACAGGATTATTGCTGTCCTTATTGCCTGCAGATGGTTGCATTTCCCATTGCTTTCCCAGCCCTCTCAGAAGTCATCCATTTTCTTCATTTCTCAGAACTACTCAAAGCTTCATAGGTTGCTGATTGTTTTGACTGCCTCTGCTTTTAAGGTCTGGAAGCCCTCTAAGGAGGGCTGGTTTTCCAGAAAGTTTTCTGGAGCTCAACAGCTGCTTCACGACATCCAGCCAAAAAGTGGAAGCAGTTCAGGTCCACCGCTGAAAATGTCAACATGTGTTTGGCACAGCATGCACACATATGTGAGTGAGGCCATAAACTTCATTACTGTAGGTCAGTTCTTCAGGTACAGCTGCATGCAGATTACTTTTAAACTTTCTACTCTTGTTCTTTAATTACAAACTTTATTTAAGGCAAAACCAATACAAATATGTTGGTAAAATTTGTGTCTTTGGCAGGTTTCCCTCTACTGTCCAGCAAGAAATCAGTGCTGCACTGGAAGGACAGCTCAGCTAGCTGTCAAAGTGGTACTGGAGAGGATCACTCCCAGACACAGGTACGAAGGAGAACTATGCAAAGCAAAATAAGTGTAGCTGCTGTTGGGACATGTCTGCTCTTGGCAGGCTGTCTCAGCAGCCTCTGCTCTTTTGAATAGTTTTGGGTCCTCACAGCAACTACTGAAGCTGAAGTTTTACCTGTGCTGTACACAGGGGAGAGACTTTGATGTTCTGATTGATATAACTATTCCCAAAGCATGTGGCTAAGTGGCATTTGCTTTCTGTAGGACTCAGACCTTGATCGCACTGAGAGTTAGGCACTAACCTGTTCCATCAGCCAACATGTAGGCACCACCACCTTGTCCTTCCCTTAACTGCCACTGCATTTTTCTTTGTGCCACAGTTTCTGCCCAAAAGAGAGGAAACCCTCCAAATCTCTGTCCCCTGGTGCTCCAGAGCTGGCTGTTTGTCTGCCCGCATGCTCACAGGGCTGGAAGGAGACAAGTCTTCATGTATGGCATGTTGGTCAAGGGCAGCTCCCAGTAGTGGTGGGATGAGAGGGGACCACATTCGGGTGGCTTAAATACCACTTCCATCACCAGGGGAAAGGCAAGTGCCAGTACTGGCCTTGGAGAGTAAATGTGGGAGCTGAGGTATGGGGTATGCTGGCCAATGCTGGCCATTGGCAACCTGACATGGTAGACTGGGTGATTTCAGGCCATTGCAGCCCTTAGACATAGGTGTGCCTGTGTTTAATGTTTAACCCTTGCATCCAGTGGGCAGAACACTTCTAATTTGCAGCAGGCCCTTGACTCTACACCTCCCATCTTCTGTCAAGACCTAGGATTTCCTTTGTATTTTCTGCTTCTTTTAAATTATTACTTTTTAAGGCCAAGGAAGGGTGGGCCTGGCCTAAGTGCAGTGCTGCAGCAGGAGCTGTGACCAACCACACCCAGCAAAAGGCAGCACATTCCCCAGATTTGGAGGCAGGTGGAGCGGGGACCAGCCCACATTCTCTATGTCCTAGCCTGTTGTCCTCACCCTTGGGTCAAACATGATTAAAATTGCTTGACCTCAGGTCTGCATTACAAAAAAACCAAGTCTTCCACGTCCATGGTAGTAGTTGAAATCCGGTCCAGGACAATAGGGCCAGGAAAGGAATGTCCCAGGGGAGCAGAGCTGCACAATGGTGTCTGGCCATGCTGTGCTTGAGGAGAGGTGCCTCTGTGCAGCTCCTACTCTGTAAGCAAGACTTGGCAGCTTTTTTCTTACCCTAAAGAGAGAGGGTTAAGAGCATGCATATTTGTTTATTGGTGTTTCTCATGTTTTGGTTTTTTTTTTGTCTGAAACCCTGGCCAATATTAATTTTAGTCATCAAATACCACTGTGAAGCAGGGAATAATCATTATTGCCTTGCTTCTGATGCTTCTGGGAAATGAGAAGTCAGACAGAGTAATGGCTTCACCCATGTGAATTTGGGAATCTGACACATAAGTGGAAAGAGGAATTAAATCTTTTCACCATCCATTATCACACAGCATTAAGGATAAAATGCCTCCCTTTTAAGAAGTTAAAAACCTCTAGTTTTGGTCTGCTGGCTAGTTAATGTGGGCATTTATCCTTGTTACTATCTCCAGCAGAAGATTTCAGTGGCCAGGTAATGGATTTAAATCTTGACCAAAGGAAAAATAATCATGAGATAGAACTAATTGAATTGTTCAAAACCACCATTTTGCATTTTACATTCTTCTCTGGGTCACTTCATTCATTCCTACCTGTGCTGTGTAAGCATGCAATTTTATAAAAAGCAGTTGGAGAGGATAGGTTATGGTCTCTTGTGCTTGCTGGAAACTCTAAGGTGATGCAACTGGAATGCACATGGGAGAACACAGCAGATCTGCTTTTGTTTATTTTCCTGCAGATAGGACTGTTTCTTTCTAAATAAAATATTAAAGGCAATTCATACAGGTATGACAGATTCTTAGCATGAATAACATTACTTTTACACTATTAAAATTTCCAGAAGTATTAGATCTTCACTTTTACAGAAATATTAGCCCTTTAGGGGGAACATCTTTTTTTCCTATTTTATTATCATTTACATATGTATGTGGATATAGAAAGAAAATATTAATTTTATTAGTATTACGTTAAGATTGAAGTTGATTAAAATATTGTATGAAATAAAAGATACACTAAACTGTATTTTTCTACCCCTTTAAAAAAAATCTTCTTTTTGTAGCTGGCTTCTCACAAGAAACCACCAGAAGTTATAAGAGGACATTTCACATCCTACAGCCCAGTATTTCAAAGAAAAGAAAGAGACAGAGAGATGCCTGAGGACATCCATCTCTATGTGCCCCATTGTCCTTTGCAGAGCAGCACCAGAGGTTCTCCACAGACCCCTCTTAATGGGACACTGGCTGCTGATTTATCTGAGCCTGAAGATGCAAATGGTGGCACTGGGACATACACAGCCCAGGGCTGGAAGGAAATAAAACAGAAATATACCTCTGAACCAGAAGATTTTAATAGGAAGACAAAAATTATGTCATCTCCGGATTTGAAAACAAATGATGACAAAAATTCAAGGCACCCAGAAGAAAAGTCTAAGCAAGAATTAAAGGAGGTAAAAAAGAGGCTGGTGCCTTGTACTCAACAGCGACCCTTGTCGTATGATTCAAACAGGGTGGACTTAAGTGGAACCTGTCTGGGATATCAAAAGAAAGGAGCACTGGAGACATCAGAGGAGAAGGATGCTGACTGGAGAAATGATGTGTTCAAACTGTCTGGTTGTCCTGTGTCATTTGCAGATGATCCTCCACCAGCTTTGTCAGTAGACACAAAAGATGTTTTGAGGAGGCCAGATGCAGTTGTCAGGGACCACACAGTTGACCGGCCAAAATCACCGCTGAGGGTCATAGCCAATGCGATCAAGAGGTCTATTTTGGAGCCTCTAACTTCATCTCCAGAAGGACTAAAGCAGGACTCAGACAGCAAAGACAAAGCCTCTTCAGAACAAGCTTTCTTCATCTTTCCCAGTACTCCTGGCTATTCCCTAAGCCAAAGGAACAGTAACAATAATTGTGCAAATAACGCTCAGCCACAGAAGCTTAAAGTAAGGGAGCGGGCAGGAGAGTATTTAGGAAATGGGAGCACTCTCTTAAATCCGTCTCATTTTTCTGTCGGCTCTGAAAAGACATCTCTAAGGGATTACAGCGAGGAGGTATCCTTCCCAGTCTACAGTCTTCACAGCAGGCCTTCCAAGATGACCAATATACCTCAGAAATCATCTTGCACTAGGATGGAGGATGTCCCAGGACTCCTTGAAAAGTTTACTTTTAAAGAGACTTCACCAGGGGGTCCCACGGATGACATAATTATCTGTAATGAAAAGTACCTCCTCCTTTCATCTCCAGAGCCCAAGAACACCTCCAAGGACAATCTAGATGACTCTGCACAGAAGGGCAATCTTGGGTCGCTGGTTGATAGACTGAGAAGTAACATTTGTGACAGAGAAGGGAATTCCTTTGTGCCATCTCTGCCTTTCATGGAGGACCATTCTCCAGAAGAGAGGCTATATTATCCTTCCACAGGTGAGGGCCTGAGTGGAATTAGTTATTTCTAAGAGTAGCACTTAACGTTTAGAATACCTGTGTGTGATCATACAAACACGTATCTGTTGTATGTTACGTTTAATTTATAGTTACTTTCTACATAGGAAGACTTAATAATTTATTTATTTTTTTGGTTAATATTTAGAGGTTGCTTCTGGTTTAAAGGAGCAGAGTTGATTTGTGAGCAGTTTATTTGCAAGCAGAGCACAGCTCACTAGACTTGGGTTTGATCTGCTCACTGCTGTCCAGATGTGTTTGGGATGGGAAAATGTAGTTGCTGAGGTGGAAGGAGGTGTGAGGCAGAGTGGGATGCTGTACAGAGCAGCTGCTGCTGTGACATTGAGCGTGTTGTGGGAAGGCAAACACAGCAGGGTAGCAGGTGAGTGCCGAAAACTCCAGTGTGGTGTAGACTGCATTTGCGACCCTTTCCATGAGGAGCTCAGAGACTGAAGCAATACAGTTGCAATAGCAAGAAGCTTTGCTCTGTGTATGTGCTCTCTCCCTAGATGCCTCCTCGGCACTGTCTGCTGTCACAGTGACAACTGTAGACATATTTTTGGAAGCTTTGTGTGTCATTAATATCCCCTTGTTGTTTTATTTGAGAGGAGATAGAACCTTATTGACATACTCTGACCTATTTGTGAGTCTATTTGAGCAGTCATTAAAAGGCATCAATTTTCATGTTTGCATGCAAGAACAATGTTAGTATTAAAATTGCGGACAAGTCCAAGAAGTATTAATGTAAGACAAACATCAATTGGAATAATCTGAACATAGGCTCAGAAATAATTAAATGCAGCACAGTTTCAGGTATAAAATATGAGGTATGAGGGCTGCAGCCACCTCTCTTTCTCAGTGATCCGTCTTTCCACAAGCCTACTATAGGAAGTGCCAGTTATTTAACTAACCTATTGAGTTCTTTTGACATAACTGTTTCTTACTTGATTAAATTGCAACCCAAACTGTAACCCCAGAATTGCTGCTGTACTGCGGCATTGAAATAACAATCTGTATGTAAAATGTGAAGCCACTGAAATGTTCTTAGTAAGTTCCTAGCCAGATCTTTTTTGCATTCTTTCTGCTTCAGAAGTACTGCATACTATGAGGAAGATATACGGTATATAAAAGATTTAATCTGAAGCTCATTAAAATGGATAGAATAACTCCTGCTTTCACTCCTGGATGTTTGGATGTGATTCTCAGAGCATCCTTCATCTAACAACTCAGAAAACCAGGCATCCCCATCACACTGTGGTCTCCAGTGGGAAGCATTTTTTAAGTCTACACCTAGTCATTGCCCATCAACTACACCAAGTGGACTTGCTCTTAACATGATGTATTACAATAATTACTATGTTGTGTTCCTACTAAAATGGGAAAAGTTCTTCTTAGGTTTGAATAATACTATATTTTAAATATTTTGGGAAAACATGCTGGTTTAATGTGTGTTGCAGTCCCCTGCTCTGCAATCTGAAAGTATTATCCAACTTATTATAATTATTGAATATAGGCATTGCAAAGTCTGTTTAGAGAGAAAATAGAGTTCCTAATAGAGTAGGAATCATGTGATAACATCCTTAGAATAATCCCTTAGATGAGATGAGAGTTGTTATAACTCAGTTTGTGATTCTGTGTTGTTTACATGGCTCATTTCATTAAGCAGGACAGCCAATTTAGTTGATGAGAAAATTAGATATGTTATGAACTCACTTTGCTCTTTTTGTGCACTTTTAGATTGAAAAGAGATTGCTTGCCAGTATTTCAGGTTCATACACGATTCCCACTACTGCATCTTTGTACCACTGAAAGTCTGTGTGTTTGCAATGTTCTTGTCAGCTAGGGCACTGTTATCTCAGTGATTTCATATTTTAGAAGGGGAACTGAGGCACTGCGAGATTAAATTACATGCCTAAGACCACATGAGAATTGTGTGGAGAAGCAGAGATGTCAGGCCAAATAACTAAGCCCATTCAATTTCTACTGGCCTTTCTTTTCCTCTCCTACTCCATGGAAATTCCCATCTGGTTTGGGACACCAGTGCCCCAAAAGATATGTGTAGCTTTGCTTCTCTCTTTTGTAAACACTGAAGTATATGAAGTGGTCATAATTAACTCCAATGACCTTATAAAAATATGCAATCTTGGACACTTACAGAGGAAGCCAACAGATTAATGTAACATTATGTTATAAGAACAGTTCCTGTTCCAAGACTTTCTGTATATTTAGACTACAGTCATTACTGTGACACACAAACCCCAGAAAGGGAGGTAAGCTGTGACATGCAGAGTGACAGTGTGGTTTTCCCTGTAAATCTCCAGAAAAATCAGCAGTGCTCCCATGTCTAATAGATCCTCTTTGTGCAGAAGACCTCAAGTTTCCTAGGAAAGCAAGTACCTTAGATTTGTATGTTAAGGGAGGGGTTCTCAGAATCACTGGACTTTGGTCCAGTTGATCCCTCTAAATACAGCGTGGATTTTACCACTGATGGCATTGGGTGGCAGCGCACTTAGGCCAGAGCAAAGCGTCTTTGAGACCCACCCTTGGATTACCAAGCTGTAAGGAACTGGTCATAGGAAGGAATTTCAATTTTATGAATGTATTTTTTCTTGCCTCTCACAACATACATGTATAGGGATACTAAGTCCTGATATCAAGAATTGGAGGTTTCCTCCAACTTTGTACTTTGAAGTGTATTCTGTGACGCTGTCAGATTCAATAACCATTAATAACAATAATAATTAATGCTTAGTTTCCTGTGATTTGAAAGCTGTAAATCAGGTATGCTAGAACCAAACTCCTAGCACCTACTGTGAGGTAGGAATCAGGAATAGATTAATACAGATTTCAGAAATACTTGTTCCTTTCACCTTTATAATTAAGAACTAAAACTAGGGCTGACCATCCCTGGTGATATAAAGTTGTATTAGCTGGGGATGAAAAGCTCCAGTATAACATATGTTAATCTGGAAGTTAAGGAGATATTAGAATATTTAAGAAATAAGTAAGAAATAACTCCCATTTTGAAGGAATGAGGTGGCTGTAAAGAGAAAGCCCAAGTCTAGAAGAGTTAGTATTTGGAAAAAAACATATGTTTTTGAGATACTTTCTGAAGCGATCGAGCTTTAAGGCTTGACATATTTGGAGCAGACAAATTACTATTATCTAACTTTAATATTGCATTTCTAAGCTTCAGATTTAAATGAGATGGTGAATGTAAAAGTTCCTAGGTTGAACATTTTTAAGTGTGAACTCCTTATCCAAATCCTCTCAGCTGGCAACTAAATTCTGCCGGTTCTTGCCTCTTTGGAGATGGGGAAGATTAATGCTCAGTCATCTATAGTAGAATCTATAGATGCTGTAATACAAAAGAGTGGGGTTTTTTTGTTTAGTTTTGGGTTTTTTTGGGTTTTTTTGTTTGGTTTTTTTTTCCCAAAAAAATACAATAAACTTGTGGTATTTAGCTCTGCAATAAGGCATGTTCATTCAGTGAGGAAATTTCTTACAGTGCTTGTTATAGTTGTCCTGAAGTTGAAATTTGCATCTGAGATATGTTTTAGGGTATATTTCTGGTCTTTCCTACAAGGAAAAAAATAGCTGAGCAGAGCACTAGGTGGCTGCCTTTCTAGTGCTGAAGGAAACGCACTGTCCCACTGTCTCTATATCCCTGAAATGTGGCAGGACCACACAGCTGGAAGCCAAAAACCTGTATTCTTATCCCAATTCTGTCACTTTGCTGTGTGCTTCTAGGCTGCTCTTTGGAGCAGCCAATGCTTCAGTTATCCACATGATATTAACAGAGAACTTCACTGCTGTGAAATGTGCACACAGTAAATGTGACAGAGACCATAACTGTCTACGTCCACAGGTAGCTGCATCGGGTATGTCATCACTGAATGGCTTCACGTGGTCCTTCATCCTGTAGGTTTCTTAAGCTGGAGATGATGAAGTATGCTGCTGATTGCAGTCAGGTGGCTGTTGTCTCACAGGGCTATGGGTGCCACATCCCTTGAGAGGCCAAGCTGTTCTGGGGCAATCTAAATGGCTTTTCTCTGCAGAGCAAGTTGCAAATACCTGGCTCTCCATAGCAGGTAGGCATTGGGAGGACTGTGGATGTTATGAATCTATTCTGTGCACAGACATCAGCTTCCTCATGCTCATGAGATGGCTCTTGGAAGTCTCTGGAGAAGTCATTGACACCCTCTCTGTCCCAGAAAGGCAAACAGCTCCCGAATCACACTCCCGAGGAGGAGGCATGGGCCCTTGTGTTGCAGTAGGCTGCTTTTCATCTAACCCTTGTAACGCTTTTTGAATTATTGATATCCCTCAAAGAGGAGGACACAGAAAAGCAGTCACTTGTCCCCACAGCTGAGAGAAGAAAGGGAGCGTGTAATTGCTTGTGTTTCCAGCCCTGCCAGGCTGTAAGGTTTGCTGCTTTTGCTTACCATGAAACTTGATTTCATCAGCAGCCTGACCACAGGGTACTTACTGCAAACTTTCTGTTGCACAGTGAAAAGCAAGGTAAGAGAGTTTACACCCTAAAAGAAATAGTAACTGTCATATCCCCATGCCTTCCTCCACCTCTTGTGCTAGGAAGTGCTTTACAGCTGACGGTCACTGCCAGGGGCAGAGTTGGGGCACAGCTGGATTTGCACTCTTGTCCGCAGGATGTGGGGCAGTGCATGGTACCCCATGCACTGGAATGGGACCCCAGCAATTATGAACCATCGGAAAGTCCCCAGCAGGACAGCACATAGGAGCTGTGTCCCTCCTCCAAGGGCTGCAAGGTGGAGCAGCTTATGGTGGCAGCCATGGCAATTCTGGCACAGGGCAAACACCGGGGAGGCTGGTGACCCACCTGGCATTTCTGCCAGGGCTTTTGCACCCCTGCTGCCCAATGACCTGTCCTGCAAAAAGAAGAGCAGGACTGAGGTCTGCTCCGCTGGACCCTCAATACAAGGGCTGGGTGCTTCTAAAATTGAGACCACTGCCAAAAAACAGAATTTCTGCCTCAAATTTTGTGGATTTGCTTTCTTTGCTTTACCATCTGGGATGAACATGTTTAGTAGATCCTGATTTTAAATTGGGGCTTGAGACAGGAATCCTTCTTCAGGACTGGAATCCAGGACAAGGCAAAGAAGAAACATTTACACCAGGAGAATGGGAAATTATTTTAATCTGAATATTACTTGCATGTAGAAAGCCAACTGTTACCTCACAGATACAAAGAAAAATGGCACTGTTAGCTTTAAATAATGTACATTTCCAGGACGTTGCCCAGCTGTTAATCATTAACCGTATAGCAGGTTGAAGCGTAGAGACAGATGTTCCAAAAGCAGCTTTATTTTCTGAAATAAAGAGAATGAAGCTATGAATTAGACAAATTAAGAAGAAATTCAAATATTTACACCCAGTTGAAACAAGATGCTGGAAAAATAGGCATGATAAAATTGCTGCAATTAAATGTAATTTAATTTATAATTCTGAAAGCATGCTTCTTCCAAAGGCAGCCTTTGAGTGTTCCTTATGGAGTGCATTGTTGTGATGTATGGATTTTTCTGACTTATTATGGCATTTTAATCAACAGTTCAATGATGTGATAATATTCCTAAAGCAGAAAAATAAGTGACGTTTGTTTAGACATAATTAATGAAATATTTATGTTGCATGAGGCTGTGTGATAAAGCCTTGTTCTCTTAGTCCATTTGCTTCTGATTACATTTGTGATTTTTTTATATGACCAGACATTCTGACGCCAACTATTTTACACTGAGCAGATGTCATGTAGTAAAAATGGGTGCCAGATGCTACAAGCCACATAAGGGTAATTTGTTTAAGAGCTGGCTCAGACTTTTTGCATTCAATTACACTGTATAGTGAGCCTTATACAATCATTTGGGTAATATGGCTAACTTCAGATATACATTTTAATGAACGTTGAGTGTGCTCAGAACAGCGTGCTATGTGCAGGGTACTCAAGGAATTAATTTATTTGTATGTAATACGTGAAAAAATTGACTATACCCAGACAGAGTTTTTGACAGGGATCAAAAATTTAATTAATGCCATCAGCCACATTTCCAAATTGCTCTAGATGCTGCTGATTACAACTCAAGGCAGGTGCAAAGTGTCTGTGTAGGTTAAGGAACAGTATTTTTTGCTCCACTGACTATTTTGTTCCTACATTTTAGGATGTGAACACCTACCTGTCAGAAAACAAGCTACTGAGTATTCTGCTTCTTCCTCCGATGATGAATTTGAATCCAAGCCATCATTAACATACAAGGTAACCTTAACTTGGAAACAGAAAGATATTTGCTCAGTTGGACTGTATTTAAGATTCATCATATGATTTTCATCTAAAACACACTGCAATATCTCAAAGTGGGGATGGGAACGCTTTATCAATGGAGGTTACATGCCATGGAGAGAAAAATACATTAAAACTCTTAAGGATAGATGAAAATGAAAATTTCTGTTTCCTCTTTGGATCTATAATTCCCCCAGGTTACACCAGTGTTGACAGAGGAGCTCTTAATTTGACAAGCAGACATGTTTCGCTGAAACCACTTTGAAGCTGCATTCTTAAGTGGCCTTAATATGTAGCCCAACAAGCAAACTATTGAAAAAATTAAACCAAACAGATGCAGATTTCCCTTGGGGAAATGCAACTTCATTGGAGAGGTGCTACAGGCAGGCTGTGTGGAAGACACTGTGTTTATCCTAATCAGCACGACTGCGTGAGCCGTGAAGTCGCACCCAGACCCCGTATGCCGAAAGGGCTGGCTGCACACTGGGATCTCTGAGCCCCAACTTGGCTCCTGTGGCTAGCAGGAGTGGTGGGGGTTAAGCCACCAGTGAACTCTTGATACTCAGCTCTGATCTTAAGAAACAGAGCTTCTATTGCCTGCATAGCTCACCAGAAATGTGTTTACTTCTTTCCTGTGGAGGGAATATTAGTAAGTGGAATTAATAGTACGAGGTGACCTTTTGATTTCTTGCCTTTAGGGGAGGAGGGGACGGGAAAAGAAAGCAAAGCAAACAAGAGGCTGCCCAGTACACTGAAAAAAAAACAAACAGCTGAGCTGAAAGCTAAGTGGAGCTTTGATTGGAGACCCAGTTGCACAGCTCCAGGGGAACCAAAGTGCCACAAGGCAGAAGCGCAGCAGCATGTGGCAACACATACTGCCAGGATCTGTGTCAGGATGCACCGAGATGTCGGAATTCATCGTTCATCTTTCCTACAGGAAAAACAATCTGTAGTAGGATAATATTATGATGAATTAAATAATGTTTAAACAAAATGGAGAAAAGAAGGGAGATGTGGGAGAAGACTGAACAGGAGCAACTCCCAACAGTTCAGGCAGGAGTAGGCAGCACTGCCGGGGCAGCTGCCAGGAGTGGGGTGAATGAGCAGCTGTCGCACATGGGCATTAGCAGTGCCTCAGTTTTGATGCATGTTCCCCACTCAGCTTGTTTATCTCAGCTGCCTCCTAGCACCTCTCTTCATGCCAGCTCTGGCTGCTTTTTTGCCAGTACCACCATTTTTCTCTGGCAAAACTTGCTGGGAAAAATTTTAGTGGCTTCGTGGCTTGTTAATTTTTTAATTGTCATGTATATGATTCTCATATATTCTGTCTCCTCCAAAATGAGAAAATCACAGCCTTGAAGCACTTCCAGATATCTTGGGTCAAGGGCAAGATGGAGCAGGTGCAGGTGAATCCCTTGGCCAGCCCTGCAGCCACGCTGCTCTGCTTTCCCGGCAGCAGTGACAGGTACCCACGGAAAGGCAAAAAAAATCTTGGCAACGCAGTAGGGAAACAGCACTAGGAAAGGTTTTGTAGGGCTTCAGGTAGCGTCCTACAATGGCTGTTTCTTTTGGATACAACCCTCTTACTGTGTTACAAGTTATCCAAATTGAATTTTACTGCTTAGCAGCTACAGCAATAGAAATGTGTTGAGTTTTCTTAATCTGGTGCTTCCCACTGCCTGTGCCTGGCTTCTTCCCTGATCACAGTGATGTCTTCAGTAGCCATGTGTAGTAGAATAATGTATATGGTCAACTTTGCAATTCAGACTGTTTTTATTGATAGACACATTTCGCACTCACTAAGGGGTTGCCAAAGTCAATGTAGGCAAATGCATGAAAATATTCTTACATGAATATTTTCATTTCAGTTGGGTTGCCTGAATCCCCCTGCAGTAGCTCCCCTCACTTTGAGCGGGAGGGTTGGGTTTGGCAATCTCCAGAGGTCTCTCCCGACCTCAACAGTTCTGCGATTCTGGGGAAGGCTTGTGTAAACCTGTAATTACATACTTATGCTTTGATTGTGCCTTTTTTCCTTCCTCTTTCTCTTCTGTAGGAAAAAAGGACTGTCAGAAGGAGAAGGAAGCTGGAGAAGGAGACAAAGCAATTGATTAAACAAGAGGAGTTGAAAAGGCTTCACAAAGCACAGGTGAAAAATGTAGCTCGCAGTGTCCCATTTGTCTCCCAGGAATGACTAGCAAGGACAGGGTGTACCCAATGTGGGCTCTGCACCTCTCCTTGCTCCTCACTGTGGCTTGCTGCCTTCTGTGTTGAAATCCACCCAAAACATCAGGAATAGGAAGATGTGTGTGGTGAGGTCTTGTGTCTCTACGTGACAAATCCACATGTGCCCCAGAAGATTGTCTTAATTTTGTAATTGTGTATGAAGAACAAGAGCAATAGTGATTGGCAATAAGAGAAGAATACACTGAACAAGAGGGAAAGACAGAGAAAGGGGAAATAACATCAGCCCCTGTAAATGTAAGAAATTCAACTGTTAACCCAATGTACTACAGGAGGGTATGGAAATACAGTGATGGGTTTTGTTCCCTCTCTGCCATAAAACTGAAAGTGAACCATTTTCTTTCTTAATGATACAAAGTTACTTCACTTTATACAGTCTCTGCTCTTCAGAAAATGCTGGAAAAGCTCTGGACTCTGCTAATGTTTTATTATTTCCAATAACAGTTCAAAGATTTGGGAATGCAACTCTGCATGACTTGATCTCAGACTGTATACTCTCAGGTGTCAAAATTTTCAGGTTCACTTACCACACATACATATCTATATGCATGTATGTATATATAAATAAATGGCTTATGTGGCCATTAGCACTTTGTATGTGTGTGTCTGTACTGTAACACAGGGTAGAGAAACCTGAGCTAGATTCAATCTCATTAATTCAGGTTGTAATGGTATTCAAGATATAGCAGCAGGGAGAGCAGGCATTTTGAAGGTAGTGTTGTCCATCGTCTTCTGTTGTATTACTATAGCAGGTGGTTAGTTTTGGACAAAGCTTCCGCTTGCTATTTCTAATGTACTAACATTAATTTTAAAAAGAAAACTAAGAAGTTGCTTTTCAAATATGAATCTGAAATCTCCATTTTTGTAAACATCACTGTTCTTGCAAAGTGCATAACTGAAAAGGAAAGTCTGTGTTTGAAATAGACAGTGGATTTTAGAAAATGCTAATATCTAGCCATTACTATAAAATCTGTGACAGATTAAAACCCATGGGAAAGAAGAATAGTATCTTATTTAGTCCAAAGTAAGAGCAACTGTGCTATAGTTTGAAAACTGTAAATTAGGTCAAGCTAATATTAGATGCATATGTGCCTTTTCTTGTTTTATTCTTTGTGGAAACAATCTTAAGTCCAAACTTTCTGAACCATCTTTCATGTTTGTTAGGCTGTTGCTGAGAGCTTGGCTTGGTATGCCCTAACACAGCCTGAAATGGAAACTGCTGAGCCTCCCTCTCTCTCTTTGACAATTCAACCTTTTAAGGTGTTTTATGCCTATTATCCACACAGAACCTCTGAAAATCCTATTTAAAATGGATGGACCTGTGAATGTAGAAGTCCTTCATGAAATGCTACTGAATTATCACTTATTAGCTCTTAGACACTTTCCTCCCTGTGCCAAAAGCTTGTGAAATATAAAAGCAAAACAAACAACAAAGCCCCATGGACAACAAAAGAGGTAGCAAAGCTTTCTAGCTGTAAACCTTCAATACTTATTTGAGCTTTATTCGTGTAGCATCTCAGAATATGTGCCTCTGAATGTGTAAGGTAGTGACTTTTCACACCTTGCAAGAAACAGAAATGTTATGATCTCTGTTTTGCAACAGGAGAGGTAAAGTTCAGAAAAACTGAGGTTTTTCTAATTCCTACAATACTTACCCTCACAAAAATGCAGATAGATACCTAGTGGAATTATTAAACTTCTTAGGCACCTAATATGCTCAATGAGTTTGCAAATCCCATGACTCCTCTGAGACCTTTTCAAGCTGTTTCTCTAACCGCTGAGACCATCTTTTGTCTGTGAATTTTTAAGCTATGTCTGTAGCTTTTATATCATTACAATTTTTGCAGGCAGTCCAGCGCCAATTAGAAGAACTGGAGGAAAGACAAAAAGCTCTGGAGATTTTTGGTGTCGAACTGGAGAGAGAACTAAGAGGAGAATCAGGTAAATTAAGCAGTGTGTATTTGCTTATTTGGTGGTAGGGGTTTTTTTAGCCTTTTTCAAAGCAGAGGGATTTCAAGTATTGCCATTGAAATAGAATCCAGTGGAAAATCTGAAATGAAACAATAACTGGAAGGGCAAAAATAATTGTTTACCCCTTTCCTCAAACTCTGTTAGCTCAAGAACCTTTATGCTGAATGCTATGAATTTTCTGTTGATTATCACAGATTTGGAATTATTTGCCTTGCTGTTGAACCTGAATCTACATTCCCTCCAATTTTTAAAAATCCTATACTGAGCTTAATTTCATTTTCTGGAGTGAACCAGTGAGGTTTCCAGGAGCTGCATCTCAGTTACCAAGCCAGCAGCAGCCTGTGCCTAGTAACAGAGCCCTTAATGACTTCTCCCGGAGTGTGAAATGCCATTAATATGATTAGAGCCAGTGGCCATGCTATATTAACAGCAGCACGCAGGCACACAGACCCGAATCACACAGCTTTCCCCACAACGGGTGGAAGATAACAGGGTTGTTGTCCTGGCCCTGCTCAGAGGCAAGGCTTTCCCTCGCCTGAACCAACTGCTCCAAGCATCCAGGACTGCGGAGTCCTCCCACCACCCCAGCTTTATCAGTGCTGCCCAGTGCACTGGGGAGACCTCCCGCAGAGGGCTGGAACATCTGGGAGCTCCTGCCAGGCTTAAAGTGGGGATGGGGGTGTGAACCGCGTGTGTGAGGGACTTCAGAGGGGGCTGCGGTTCTGTGCTGAAAGGAGTCTGGGGAGCTGACAGCCCGATGGCAAAAGTGTCTTTATTTACTTCTGGTTTAGAAAGCTGAATCTCCTGTTTTCGTGACAGGCAGTTGCACAACACTGAAAGCCTAGATATGTTTTGGCACCTGATCTTGTTGTTATCTTAGCTAGGCAACCCAGCACAATCTCTACATGCTGACTTTTTAAATGCCATGTTTCTTAGCAGTTAGAGCCCTTACGCTAATCAGTTCAGCAAAAAAGCGTTTGTCCTGCCTCTTATATTTATTAATTAATATCCTATAATTGATATTGCCAACCTATTTCAAATGTTATTTAAAAGGTTGGTTTTTTTTTTCTTAAATGAAAATATAACCATTTATTAAATGGCACCCACCTTACTGCCTATGAGAAAGTATGCTAAAAAGACTTTGAGGATTTGAAGTGTTAGCTTTTTTCTTTCTTGCTGATTTGCATATGTGTGGGTGGTTTTTTTAAATGTCAGAAATGTAGAGGGACAACAGGTTTCTAGGTCTTGGGACAGACACTAGATACCAGGGTAAATGGCCTAGAGGCACCTCTTGTTTTTGCTGTTTTGACAATTGCATTTCCTAGAGAAGGCTGGCTGCCAACAGATTGATGCTTCTCATTCTCTTCCCATCCTTAGTAATTGGATTGCCCTCATTAAGGTGAAAGTACTATTTTTTTTCCTCCCTGTTGATTGCTTGTGTGTAGGTGGCCAGTTACAAATAGGGCAGATACTGAAACGTAGGATGTTACTGTGTCTCTAAGTCTTCTGATGCAAAAGCATGAAGCTGTGGGTTTCCCAAACAAGATGCAAATGCTTTGTTGCTTGTAATGACATACGTGTAATGTTGCAGGAATTGGCGAGTTTAATATTCTGTTCCACCTTCTTAAAAATAATGGCCATTATTGTTTAATGAATGACCAGTGTTTATTTGGTTAAGTTGTACTTAAGCGGGTCTGCACTTATGCAATTCAAGTGATTTAATAGGTATTATTAAGGTAATTAGAAAACGATCACAGTTCAGCAATAATATTGAGCTGCAAAGGTTGTGAATAACCAAATTTAGAGACAGGCCTGCAAACACTCGTCTTCAGTGACATTTACGCAACTCTCCTCTAATAATTCTGTAAGCCCGGGATGAATGGCCCCTTTGTTAGGGGTAGTTATTCATTAGCTCCTCAACTGAATTAGAAGAGAACATGCGTGGGTGTGAAACAACTGCCATGAAGACTGATGAGCAAAATGAGGTTTTGATGATCTTCTAATTGTAGTGACAAAAATTCATGCATTAAAAAAAAAAAGTATCAGTCCTATGAATAATTTTTCATGCCCCTTATTCCCTTTATTCTGGTTCTAAATACCAAATAATAAATCACTAAGGCACCATTGCTTTGTTTTCCACTGACATTTGTGGAGGCTTATGGAGATCTTCTGCCTACAAGAAAATACAGAAATAAAAATCTCAGAACACATTTTCCACTGAAATTAGCATAACCGATCAGTTGACTAAACAAAGCATTAAGAATGACGGTAAAGAAGAAAAATCTGTGTTGAGAGAACTTTGAGAAATCTCTCCATGTTTTGGAAAGTAAACAAATATCTGCGCATGTTGCAGCTAGTTTTTCAATTCATCAGCAGCATATCCAAGACTTCTCTGAATTTTCAGCAGAGTCAAAAGAGATCTGTTGGAAAGCTGTAGTAATAAGAACTATGAGGTTTAGCTGTTCCTAGAAGGGAGAAAACTGGCCAAGCCCCCTTCACTGTGTGACCGCTGTACAGAGGGTCAGCGTAGCACCACTCTGGAGAACAGAAGGTTGAGGTTTTGAGAAGAGTGTTCAGTAAATACTCCTCTGCATCCTCTTCCCTCAGAAGTGATGGAAATAGAAATAGCTACAATGTAAATAGAAGAACATCTGACTTTCAAACAGGATCGAGATTAAAGGAGATTTGGATAAACCAGGAGGAGAGTTTTGCTTTAGTGATGCTGTAAGTAAAAAACGAGTGCGGCTCACAAAATAAACTCACAAATTGTTTTCCCTCTAACATTTAAAAAGATCTGCTGTACTGTGTTGCAAAAGGTTTCATTGGCTTTTTTTGCCCTTGGAAGGCATAAAGCACTCCATCAGATTGAAATAACTATTAACATTATTATTAACAAACAGTTGAAAAGCCTGGGGAAAAAATGCCCCGGGGGGATACTTGTGGGGGCATCCTGTGGGATGGAAAAGGAGGAAAAACAAGGGCTATTTTTATTTCAGCTTGCACTGAGGATTTTGCTGAAATGAGTGGCAATTTTGCGAAGTGCATTATTCTCTGCTTACCTCAGTCAACCTATGATACACAGTCTGTTACTAGAGTTAGAGAGGTTTTTAAAGTGTAAAGAGGAAACATTAAAAAAAATTTGCCTAATCAAGAAAACAGAAAACAGGGAATAGTAACCCTCTGTGTGTGTGCAAGACATACACATACCTGCAATTGCAATGGTTTCACTGGCAGTAAGATAAATCAAATTTTGATGATAACTTCTGATGGTGTCATATGAAGACCTAAGGCTCTGAATACTAATGCTGCATCCCTGCACTGAATCTGTGAGAACTTACCATTGACATTCCCAGTAAGAAAGTCTCTGATAGTCACTCTGATAAGACTTTTTTTTTATCACCGCATGCTAACCTGGAAGATCCTACAGGAACACATCCATTGCTGCCAAGTTTTAATGGAATTGGGCAGAAATTGGACCGAGATTTCTTTGCCTTCTCCTGCTGCTTTCTCTTCCCATTTCATCATAACTTCAGATTAGGGTCAAATCCTGATGAGAAAACACAAAATGACACCCAAGCCAGTGTGACCCCAGTCCTTGGCGTGGAGCCCCATGTAATTCTTCTGATGCTGACAGGAGGTGACCCGGGCTCTCTGGGATGACAGTGCCTGATGAAGCCACGCAAATGGGCTGGTGATCCCAAACACCCAACCATTTCCCTCCCGCTCAGGAAGATTGCTGAAGGGCTGCATTGGCTGAGATCATTACTGCCCACAGGAGACGGGCTATAAACTGCTGCTGTTGAATGGAGTCAAATCCACTTTGTCATTAAAGTGAGGGACAGCTGAAGCAGTAGAGACTAGAGGGTAATTCCTGGGGCTGAGGACAAAGGACATTTCAAAATGACAACAGAAAGGTACCTGAAATGCTGCTGAGGTGTCCAGGACTCCAGCTATCTCTCCATTTGGTAACCTAGTTTAATGATATTCTTGTGACTGTCATCTATGGAGCTCGAACCTGAGACCTTTGGGCTTAAATTTCAGCACTCTCAGTTATCTGAAATAAAGGCGCAGAAGAAATCACTTAAATCTCCATCCAGAGGAAAGAGGCAGGCTGGTTTATGAGGATTTTATGCTTGACTTTCTAGTAGTGTGATGTAAGGACTGAAGAGGAGAGCACTGTGCTCCCCTGCCTGCCAGCAGCACCCTCTTTTGCTTTGTGTCTGCCTCCAACATGCAGCAGCAGCATGGTGGGGTGTGTGACCACCCTATGCTGAGGCAGGAACATGGGCTGGCTGTTGGCTTTCTGCTTCTGAAGGGGTCGGTGTGTCACCTAAATTGTTGCCTCATCCTGGAGTAGCGTAAGATATTTGATTCCTACAAGTGATCGCTATTTTGTGGCATTAGAGAGTGGATGGGCAGAGTAGATGTTGTAGGAGGCATTTGCAGTGCTGGTGCTGCTGCTGTAATTCTGCATCACAGGGTGGTGAGGTGGTTTTGTTTTGTGCAGGAGATGAATGGAAAATGTGAAGTGATGGCATGTGTTAAAAAGGACAGCAAGGTAAAGAAATATGTATGTACTCTGGCTTGCCACTTGAAAATACCCAAAGATTTTTGTGTAGGTGGTGTTTTAGGAGCAGTAAAGACCCTCACCTGGTGAAAAAGAAATCCATCTTCCTCTTCAGCAAGGCAGAGTCAAGCTGTGAGCTCTTTGAGAGAGAGAGAGAGACCACCTTATGTTACATGTCTGTATAGTGTCTTCCAGATATATACTGGCCCAAGGGGTTACAAAACCATGCAGTAATCATAGATTTGTCCTGTCCCACAGCCCTTCCCATCATTCAAAGCAGATGCAGATTTAGAGGCCGGTTGGTAAATGAATGGAAATTTGTAGAGGATTTGATTGTGTGTCTGATGCCCACTGGAAGCAGGGACTAAGTTGTTACTTGCCAGTATGTACATTCTGAAGTCTGTTTGCGTTTCTGGGATATCCATTTACACATATAGACCAGTATCAACAGAGAAACTGTGTTATCAAAGCCAGAACTAAGAAAAGAAAAAGTGCCCATTAAAAAAAGAAAGTCTGTTGATCATTTGAAAGAAAAAAAACTTGACTTCCAAAACAAGTGTTTTTAAATTTTATGCACCTTTAACTGCAATAAACTACAACATTCAACTAAATGTAGACAAGAATGTTATACCCATACATTACTGATGTAAGTTACATACAGAAAAAAAGTCGGCATTTGAACTCATCTAGGCTTGCAAATGAGAACCATCTAAGTGAACTGAAGTAGTAAGAGCACTGAGAGCCAGTAATGCACACTTAACTCTCCTATTTTAAACAGATTCAGGCACAAAGGATGAAACTCAGATGCTACATGAATGGTTTGAGCTGGTCCTGGAGAAGAACAAATTAATGCGTTATGAGTCTGAGCTCCTGATTATGTAAGTAAGGACAAGCATTAATGCTAAAGATGGGGAGGGGACAGGGCAAAAGTTTAGTCACATTACACCTGAACCCCTTCCTGTGTGCTGCAGTTTGAGACTGTCAGGGAATAAATGTACCCAGAGTAGCTACGATCTGTTTTGAACACACGTTTTCAGTAGAGCCCTCCTCATCCTTCCCTCTCACGGTGGTTCAAATTATTGCAATCGTATACAGTATTCTAAACCAGTATAGTATGTGAATGCTCTGCCTTTACATAATGTGGGCCTAATGAACACTGGGGCACTTTCTCCTGTGGAAGAAAAATAGTCTGATAGGTTTATCTCAGGTTTTATTGGACATATGGGAAAAGATCTAGGAATTCACTACAATGATGAACCAAACAGATACACAAAGCAACTAAGAACTGTCTCAAATGGCACTGTTTGTGGTTGATGGAAACAATATTGGCTGTAGCTCCCTCACCTTGCTCCTTGGAAACTCAATCAACAGTAGGCGGAGGTGACTCACAGCTATTTTCCCTACTGTTTCCGGGCAATGTAGGAAGGCAATGAGAGCTGCAGCAGTCATTACTCCCCCCTGGATTACACACCAGTGCAGGCTGCTCATTGCCATTTATCATTTCCATATCACTCAGCCAGGCCCCTGTACTGTGTGCAGAACTGCAGTCCAGCCATAGCTCTGGCTGCACCCCAATTTCTTCACGTGTTTCTGTTGGTGTCTGGATGTGCTCACGTGGTAATTCCCTTGCCTTGGGACCCGTTCCTGTGCACAGGGACTGGCAGGGCCCTTCTTGTGTGAGTCCTATCCAGAATCACGTTGTGGGTGCCACCATCAATGCACAGCTGGTTAAAGCCTTACAAGGTGCAATGTATGAGGGAGCTCATACATAAAGCAAAAGGCAGTAGTGGTACTTCTGGCATTGCTGTGGCAATGTAGGCAGAGGCAAAGCTTTTAGCCTTGACTGCCCATGAGGAGAACATACTGGATAAACAGAATGCAGAATCTCTTAGTTGAGATAATATTATATATATAATATTCTACATTATATTATATATATATTTTTTAAAATGTTTATTCTTTAACATATTTTTTTTGTACCTAGAGCCCAAGAGCTAGAACTGGAGGACCACCAAAGCAGGTTGGAACAAAGGCTGAGAGAGAAAATGGCCATTGATGGTAAGTAAAAGGGAAGAGTATGCTCCAGCCTGCAGTGATGGACCATACCCACATGAGTCTCTGCTTGCTCCAGAAAGCACCAGAGTGACTGAGGCTCTTCCTCCTGAGCTCTTCTAGGAGTGCAGCTCAGCCAGCAAAATGCAGCTTGCGAGATCTTCTCATCTGAATTCCTGTCAAGACAGTTAAGCTAACCTGTCCAGTACCACATTGAACTGGATCAGAAGCACTCACACATGTTATTCTACTAATTGTGCTGTGCAGGCAGAAACATCCAGCTCTACATGTGATGATGGGCAGTAACAGAAAGTAGTTTCTTCAACCGCCTAAACACAAAAGAAGTCATCTATAGCATTACTGGTTACTGCAGTATTTTGGAACTGCTTTTAGGTACCTGGGATTACAGTTTGGGCTTGTCTTTTCATTTGGTATTAGAAAAGAGACTGTGGGAGGAAGGAAGGCAGGGAGAAGGAGGGTTACATAGCATTGAATACTCAAAAATATCCTGTTGTGTTCTAAGCACGTGGATTGTAAGTTATGGCAGTTTTCAATACTTTTTCTGGAAAACACTTTCAATTTTCTTACAGGTACTACATTTCACACATGGGCTTTTAATCTTGTATAAACTAAATTTAAACTCCAGGTTGTTTTTATAAACAAGTAGTGCTCTCTCTACCCCTTCCAGTCTAAGTTTTGCAAGAAGATCTACTCTAGACATTAGGAGGCTTAATTGTCAACTTTAAATGGCCCAAATGCAGAAGAAACTTTCCTTGAACTGTAACATGAAGATTATTCACTGCTATTGACTTCATTTGTCACTGACTATAATATTAATTCAACCTGTACAACAACAGTTAAAATTGAAAGCATAATGACAGAGTGATCTAGATTTTAACCTCTTATTTTTCTGATCTTTTAGACAGCCTTAAGGATGAGATGGATCTGAATGAGGAGGATGAAATTTTTACTGAGATGATGAAAGTAGTTGAAGAAAGGGACAAACTCGTGTCTACCTTAGAGGAGCAGAAAGTGAAAGAAAAAGCAGAAGACAAGCACTTTGAAAGCATTATATTGTCTAGAGGCTATCAGCTGAACAGAATTTAAACAGCCACATGCAAATAAACGTGATTTCATCAATATTTGTCATAATGGAGATACAGTCTTCTGAAAAATGAAGGGATTCAAATTTAGTATTAGTTTATTTGGGAAACATGTCGTTTTGTTATCAAAAGCTCTTAAGCAGTTTTTTTACTCATATGGGAGTGAGTCATTTCAGTATCAGTTTAAAGGATCACCAAAATACAGAATGGGACTGAATTTACCTGTCTGATGGGCATCAGGGTCTGTGAAAGGGACATCAGACCTCTGTTGTTTCCTTGGAATTTTAATGCTGAGAATAGAGTTCGTGAGAAACATGATGACATCATTCAGTATTTTTGAGATGGCATGGCTTCCATCTGTTTGTCTGAATCTATATGTGGTTTTGTTAATATTTTGGTACAGCCAACCCATGTTGAACTATTTAAAGGTCGAAAAGCAAGCATCTCATACAAAAATAAGGTTAATTTTTATTTCTGGTGGAGGAAGCGTCGTTTAACTAATAGCTACATGTAAGCACTCATTAAAACTACTGTAAATGCAATGTCATTAATTAATATTCCAGGTATTTGTAAGTTTTAGTGCACTGTGTGTTTTTGGACAAGAAGTTAAAGCAATATTAAATACTTGCACTTTGTAAAATAAGGGATTATCAAGGGGGTGACTACCCTTAAGACTATTACATACTCAAAAAAGTTTTTGTATGTCACAGGTCAAGGTGTTCTCTAAAATATGCTAATATTTAAAAATAGTAATCCATAGTAACTGCTTTAAAATTGCGTGATAAAATACATCACAGATAGTATCATAGGGTGTCACGAGTGGTGTAGCAGTTAAAGATGTTCTTGAGAATAATTCCTCATAAGGGTTGCAAAAAATGTTGAGTTTGTAATGTCAACATTTGATACAAAGTGTTGCAGGTATATTTAAAATACACTTATCTTGCTGCTTAAGAATATATATGCATATTTTTTGCTTAAAGGAACTATCCTGTCTTTTTTGTACATGCATTTGTAGATACTGGCAAAGCAGGTGTACAGAAATTCTCCTTAGTATTCAGTGTAATTTAGGCAGTTTCTTAAATCTGAGATAATTCTGCAATTTAAGATTGATAGTATTCACAACTGTATGTATGATGCACTACACTTCCAAACTGGAAAAAATAAGGAGAAACGGAAAGACTTTCTTTTTTAATATCATTTTACCTCATGCTTTGGGAAGATTTGATGTTCTCATGAATGGTGCTAATTTACAGCAGTTGCTTATGGTACAGCCAAAGTGAGAAGCATTCCTGTTACAAAAGCTTTAAACTAAAAAACCTCTTGGTAAGTGTTTGCACAGTATCAAACACACTGGTTTCTGTTACAGTAATTTGTGAATGATCTTCAGTTTTTGCTGTGTTGTAAAGAATTGAAAATACCCTTTCTAAAGATAAAAGTAAGATTTTACCACTGACCACAGATAAATAATGTGCATCTCTTGGTGCAAGGAATATACTATAGTTCTGCAATATTTATGTATTTATATTTATTTATTAGACTTTGTGAAGAGGTTAAGAGTGTCTGGTTATGTCTTACAGTTTGGATGTTGTCTCTGATTTTGACTGATAAATGTGCGTTTCTAACAGCTATGTATAGGTAAAGCTGTGCATAGAGTAGGTAGCTTTATCGTTTTGGTAATTAGTAATAACGTATGAACTGATACTTTTAAACAATGTTTTCAGTTACCATAACTTGAAGGGATACCTTTAAAACATAGCATGCAGGGCTTTAACAATATAATTTGTCTTTCAATGCAGTGGAAAGACATAGCAGAATCCTTGAATGTGTTCCAAAATTACCATTAGACTTTTTTTTCTTTTGTCATGCATAGGCTAAGTATACCTGATCTTCAGATTACATTTCTATTGAGATGAATTGCAGTGACTGATGTTTAAACTAACTCTGTTAGTTAAGATTGACACAAAGTAGGAGCAGGCAGGGCAGCAATAATTATTTTAATTTTCTCTGTTGAGATCTGCTGCATTTCCAGTTCTGTGGAGAAAATGTCTGGATTTTATCACTGTTCCCAGAAGCCTCATGTAAACTCATAGAACAAGACTGTCTAGAACATCTATCAGTTTTCTGCAGAAGACAGAACATCATAATGCTTTCAAGGTATTTTTAAAAAGTTTTAACGCAAACTTCTTAGTGCTTTGCCCAGGAGGGGAATTCAGCACAGAAATGTCCAGTTATATCAGTCAAAGACTGGGTTTTTTTTCACCTCACTTTTACAATATAAAAGGTCCATTCACTTTAGTGTTGCTGCTGTATGAAGAGGGAGAATAAGAGGTAGGACAGCCTCAGAGAAAAGTGATGCCCCTAGTCCTGAGGAGGAGATTGCTCTCCTCTACCAAAGTCCTGCCTGCTTGCCCAGAGGAGGTGCACTCACTGCAATTGGTCAGGTTCAGGTCGCTCTGAATTGTATATAAGCCCTGAGATTTCAGTTTACAGCAGATATTTGTTCAGCTATAAAATCAAATGCAAAAGGGTGCTTTCCTTTTAGCTCCAAAGATTTGAGTTCTTGAGAGTATTAATGTCAACAGAAGTTGAGGGCTATCAGCATTTTATGGACCTTAAAACTATTTTTATACTAAAAAGATGCTTTTCTGCACACCGTAGGGTTGTAACACGCACTCCACTCAAAACTGCAGATCTTGTGTGTGTCTGCTCTTGGGTGGAAAGACCTGTCAGGCTGCTCATAACCTGCCTGATATTAAGTACTTCACAAGTTTCAATCCAAAAATGAACTGTGCTGTTTGTTATTGTTTTAGAAAAACAATAAACTCTTAAGTCATTTAAAGCAGGTCTTCACATACTGTGAGAGTAGAGAAAGAAGGGGGGAAAAAAGACAAGGTATGTGCACTGGTTTGGTTATGAGTCTTCTTGCTGTTCCATCTTTTCAGTAAATTGACTCACTAACTTATAATAGATTTGTTTACTTTTAAGTCCTCGGTACTGTCATTGTTGGGTTGGAATTGATGTGCTGGAATGTATTGACTATGTATAAATGAACTAGATGTGAGCTATTTCCTCTTTGAAAAAAAATAAAATCACATCTCACTCTCTCAAGTCCCTGAATCATTTCCATAGCAATTTCTCTCCACTGATATCTACAATGCAATAATGTGAGTCTAGGAAAGGCCTATAGGTTAGAAATTATATCAGTTTCCTCATTAAAATACTGGTAAGTAAATCACACCATCTTGTAGTTCACAAATTCATTTTATAGTTTAGGAATAATGACACCCTGAAGTTAGAGGGCATTCAACTTTACCTTGCAACCAAGAGGCTGCAAACTTCATGAGATCAACAACTTCCTTACATTTTTACATTGGACTTCACCACCTAATTTCCTTAGGCATGGCATACAAATTATAAGAGCTCCTTGAAGACTTGAAGGAAAAGTGTCACAGCATGGATGACTAAGAATTTGTGATCAAAACTTTAATTGCCAATTTTCAAATTCCACTAACTTTACTTCTTCTATTGGATCATCTCATTTTGTTGCTTTCTACCAGTGATAGATCCTTACAGAGCAAGTCAAGGTGCTGCCTGAGATGAGAGAAGTGGGTAAGCAGGATTTGGGCTAATGTTAGTGCCTGCACCACTGTGCCCTGTTAAATGACTCTGAACTGATTGAGAGTTCTCCCCTCTCCAGAGGGCAAATGGACAGCTGCTTCTCAACAGATGGACAGCTGCTTCTCTTCAGAGGTGAAGGCAATTTTTGGCGTATGTGAACTGAGGTTTTTCTTTTCCTGCCATGTCTTTTTACTTCCTTGTTGTGTGCCTTAGAGGCAGATGGGCATGGTGGTGACTCCTCTGATAATATCACACGTAAGTTCTCAGAGTTGCACAGGAATTAATTGCCTGCTGGGTTTACTGGAAGTAATACATCAAACTTTTATCCACGTTCAAAACCTTGCAGCCACGTTGACTTCTCAGCCAGCTGACCAACAGCTGGGAGACTTGGCTGATCCAGGAGCAGAAGTGCCACCATAGGAATTTACCTCCTATTCACAGCACACATACACACACACACCTTGTCTTCTCTTCAAAAGATAATAGGACTAAAGAAACTCAACGGAACAAGAAGGTCAGAAAAAGGATTTTGTAAGCCATTATTTGACTCAAGATCAATCAATTTGTCTCCAAGCTAAAGGAACACCTCACTTATTATTAGGGTATTTGGCCAGGTTTCTCTGGGCACAAGCAGCAAACTTAAAGGTCTTGTTCTTTGAAACCTCCGCTTTTTAGCCCCAGTGCATATCTGATTTCAACTAAGAATTTCACTTTAGTAGTCTCCCAGAAAGATATACTCTGTTTTCTTTCTTGCTTGAGCAAGTTACAGGATGTGGCTTAGCAGATTGGAGATTCTGTGTATCTTTTAAGACTTTGCTACTGTCCCTGCTGGGTTTTGCATGGACCATACAGTTTCTGCATAGTTTAGCATGATGGGTTTGCCATGTTAGCATGCAAATACTATCCCTACAGTTTTCATGGCAGCCACTTCTCATAAACCTAGATCCTGGTAAATACTTTGTAATGAGTAAAGTATTTGCTGGATTTCAGCTATATCTCTGTGTAATATTTATGAACAAATTGTGGTTTCTTCTGCTGGTTCTAATGAATGATGAAAAAAGATCTGGTGGCCCTGCATGCCAGCAATGCGCTTCCTGGAATGTTCATGTAACATAGATGTATAAAACTACAGGCATGAGTGAAGGGCACAAGTGAAGCTTATTAAGAAAAAATCACAATACTTTTTTTTTTTCTAAAACTATTTCAACAAGGCCAGATGTAAAGGCAAGTAAACTTGGTCCGGTAATTATAAATAACTGATTGATGGAACGACACGTTATCAGAAGCATTAAATGCCAGGATGATGTTCTCAACTTAGTGAAAAGTTTAAAACCTACTTTCTTTCCTTTGAAACTTTCCGAATAATCTATGTGACTGTATACAACA